CCGACCCACCCCCTCCGCCGTTGCAGCCGCTTCCTCCGCCCGTGGGAAGCGGCGCTTTTCGGGAGCTGCTCGAGGCCTGCCGCAATGGGGACGTAACCCGGGTCAGGCGCCTGGTGGACGCTACGAACGTCAACGCCAAAGATATGGCCGGGCGGAAATCCACCCCTTTGCACTTCGCGGCAGGTGAGAGTCCCGGGGGAGCCCAAAAGCAGCACCAAAACTGCCGTTTTGTGGGACGCCTTGCCACTGCTGTCCCTGCAGAAACAGTTGCTCACAGTGCAGGCTCCTCTAGGGCGAATGGCTCCAACTCCCTCTTGGCACAAGGAAGGGATGATAGTAAGCGATAACTGGCTTCAAGTCTTCCCTCTCCTTCTGTATGGAGCAATGAAGAGCCTTGCACACAAGGGAGCAAAATTGCTAGCTTCCCTCTGTAGGAGCAGCCTCTGCTCTGCCTGAGCTGCAGGGTAAGGAGGATTGGCTCTCCTCAGGCTAGTTCTTGTACTGTCCAGAGAAGAATGTGGTTGAGTTCATGTCAAGAGAGAGTGCCTGCCTTCTTTTGCTTGCCTTTCCATTCTTCCTAGGTGGACTGGACTGGTGGGGTCGGAAAGAGAACAGGTAAATAAGGGAAGGGAAAAAGGAATGTATCGATTCCTTGAAGGAGCAGCAGCACAGTGGGAAAGATTGTGCTGTTAGAGCAAAGTGAGTTTGCACATTGCACTAAGCCATAATATGGTTAATCTGTTTTGGCTTAGTCTATGATGCAAATCCAGCCATTGTGTTAATATGGTGCATGAACCCAGAAAGTTATGAGGGTTTGGCCCAGAAGGGCTGCCTAGAGAATGCCCATCCTCTATGGATCATCTGATGAGGACATTTATAGCTACTGAGGATGAGAACAAGGAGCTCTTGGAAAGTTGTGAGAAGGATTCTCTGTAACTTGGAATCATCCCTGGAGAGGTGAACAGTCCTAAATCCCTTACTACTTCATTCATTTAAAGAACAAGGGGTGTAGAGCACCATAGGTTCTTAATCCCAGCTTAGTGACAGTTGTTTCTGAGGATCACTCCGCACATTGTGTTTTTCAGCCTATGACTTTTGTAAGATCTACAGTAATCCTGTTAGGGATTTTTGTAAGGTATCTTAATAAAGACTATATGGTGTAAAGTTTCATGAATTCGACTTGCTAAAATCAACTGCTTATAAAAAATTACTCCATTGAGTGGTCTATGTAGTATGAGACATCAGAGAAATAAATTTGAGATTTCATATTCTAAGGAAAAAATGGGCAAAAATAGTGGGAAAGCACACCAAAAAAACTTGGATGTGTGATTCTTGGAATTATTTTACCTGAACAATTAATTATGGAAGTTGATTTGATTTGAAGAGCTAACTCAGAGGCAGGCTGATTATATACCTGGCATGTTTATTTTTGTTATATAATGTGAGGAACAATATGCATGGAAATAATGGTTTTCTCTTCTCAAAAGCAGTTTATAATTACAGCAAGTGTTTTTGAAGCTTTCCATAAGAGGGACTTAAAGGATAAATCACATGGTTAAATCAGTTTAATAGCCTGTTTTCCCAAACTGCTATTCCCAGCATTCTCTTGGGAAGGCATATCAGTCAGTGTGAAACAAATATAATGTTGTTTCCACAACCGTGTTTGGTACATAGCTGGAAAAAACAGTCCCATTTTTTTCTCTATATGGACCAAAAATATGAAAAACACATGTTTAAGTTTGGGCGCAGACTATCCAAAACCAACTGCTCTGCCTGTTCTGGTAAAACTCCACAACTTTTTAAAGCAATTATGCTGCTTTTCTGAGATGCATAAGATAAAATGCAGTAAAGATATTTCAAATGATTCCCTTCATCTCCCTTTCTGCTATCCTAAATATTTCTGATTGTCAACATTTTAAAGTTAAAAAAAAACTTGTGGAGTCTCTAATACTTGTTTGTGTAACATAGAGTAGTTTGCCCACCAACAGCTATCTTATCCTGAATATACAGGGGTCAACAGATGCCTTAAAAGAGCCAGTTTGGTGTAGTGGTTAAGGCATCAGGCTAGAAACTGGGAGATTGTGAGTTCTAGTCCCATCTTAGGCACACAGCCAGCTGGATGACCTTGGGCCAGTCACTCTCTCTCAACCCTAGGAAGGAGGCAAGGGCAAACCACTTCTGAAAAGCCTTGCCGAGAAGATTGTAGGGATTTGTCCAGGCAATCCCAGGAGTAAAAAACTGATTTGAAGACACAAACAATAGATGCATTGGAGATGATGCTCTCAGTTTGTATGTGATATTGATTAGGCCTCACCTGCACTAATTTGTGTGAAAATTGTTATAGGTTCAATGGTAGGGTATTTATGTAGAAATTGTTTTCTGAAGCTGTATTAAAAATTACTTTAGAGAAGTGAATAATACTAGTTTCAGGATTGACATGATTTAGGTTGGATTCATACATCCTAAGCCCTAAAGTGGTGTGTTTGGCTTAGAGAGATGTGTGAAATGGTGTGAAACAGTTTGTTTTAGGATTATACCATCATTCTAACCCATGATCTCAGAGCCTTTAATCCACAGAGATGTAGAAATGAGTAGCTGAAGGAGTGAAAATAAACCAGAAATTGGTCAAGGGAGCAAGTAATGTTTTTTTTTATTATTTTAATTTACATAAGGTAATTAATAAAAACCAAACATTCATAAAGCACAGAAAATGTAACTTTCACCATTCAAAACAAATTTTTTAAAAAATTAAAAACAAGTTTTTACTCCAACTCCAAATTGGAATAAAAGTGGAATTTGGAAAACTGCTTGTTATGCCAATACAGGCTTTTGAGTCAGCTTGTGCGATAACTTTTCTGTTCATTTTTTTATATGTATATTTTACTCCTAGATATGCTATTATTTGTTTCCAGATCAAAATAATGTATATATGCATATTTTTCCAGTTTTTGCTACTAGTCGCAATCTTAAGGCACATGAGACTTAACCACTACTGATTGACCAACTGTCAAGAATGTCTGCTATACTCACCTTTTTCAGAGTTGCTTTAATATTTGAGTAAAAAGATCAGTGATGAGACACTTATATTTACTCAAACATTTATTTCAATTTATACCTGTCTTCCTGCTGATAAATTATTCATAGCAATTAACAGCCATAGTCAAAACAGTTAAAGCTTAACTAAAATTAAAAAATATATTCTGCTCAAAAAGTCTGGCAGAAAAAGTTCTGCACTCCTTTCTTGAAGATGGAAAGAGTGAGGATGAAGTGTATTATCCCCTCCCTCCTGCCCCAAGGAAGATTTTTCTGGACACTCAGGGAGCTTGAAAGATTCTCCAATTGTCCAAAATCCGAGGTAGTGGATTAATATTTTTCAAATTATGATATAAAATATTAAGAATGCTATGTTTTCATTACAAATATTTTAGGCAGCTGATGAAAATAACTGAAATTCCATCTAAAAATGTACAAGTGATTTAAAAGATTTATCTGTTTGTACATAGCTGGTTCACAGTGTAGTAGTCATAAATCTTTGTTCATCTGCAAAACTGAGAGTTATTCATTTCCATTCCACACCATTATCTTATACATTAAATTCATAATAAAGTGAAATAAAACAGAAATTCATGGGATGATGTCAGAATGTCAGGAGAAGTTTAGGAATGGGGGGGAGGAACAAACAGTGAAAGAGGAGAGATAAAAGCTAATGCCAGTGGAAGAGTCCCCCCCCCCCCCCCTATTTAGTAGACATACAAGTGGTGATATTTGAATGTTATAGTATATAGGAACTGGAGAATTGACTTTTGCTTAATGTCCCTGATTTGCATTGTCTTCTGAAGTTAATCGCTGTGTGTCTGGAGTAGACAGTGATTTTCAAGGTACATTGGGGTAGGGTTACTTAGTGATTGATAAGGGTTACTTATCAGTCACTAAGTGGTAGAGCTTTTACAGCTTTTACTAGAGCTAATATTCCGAAACCTAATTGCCACTGAAGACATTTTCTGATTGTTATATCATATGGGAAAGAGATAGTTTTTTCTCTAGTTTCAGTCCCTCCTAGGAATAACTCTCCAGGTGACAATTAAACCTTGAGTGGATGGAGCGGGGGGGGGGGGGGTTGGCGGTAAGGGACACTCAGGGCTCTGGGTAATAGATTCAGGTCCTAAGCTCTAATAATGCTCTTCATGGGAAATGTTAAAAATATAAAGTAAGGATGACAGAATTAATTGAACTGGGTGTGCAACTTTTTTTAAGCCTATGGCTAGAATAAGGGGCACATTTCAAAAAGTAGTGGGAGGAGCCAGGACAAAAACTACTTTTAATTAAATTTAATTAAGATAAATGTAGGTAATATGATTATTCTAGTAATGTTTTTAGTGATTTTTCCCTTCTATCACATAAAAACTATAGCTTGGTAACAATTTTGAAGGTCTCTGGAGTTGGATATCCAAGTCTTTCAGGGGCTCTTTTGGGTTGTGCATCTCTGCCCTATAATCTTGCTTGAGTAGTATAGAAGTATTAGTGTTGCTATTGAAGCAGTTTGTGCGCACATAAATACACACACACACACACACACACACACATGTGTTTAGGCAGTTTTGATTGGAGAAATTGAATTCTGACCTATAATATTGATACATAGCAACTGGAGCAGCTGCTGAGTAGAAAATCTGAAATACATGGGCCTTCTCTGTTTTAGCTAAAAGAAGGTACCTTGTATAGGGGAAGATCAGTAACAATCTGTATACCTGGGATTAGACTGAAGATGTCTAATGTGAGAACCAATTATTTAAAAATTAGTATATTGTGGGTAAACATTTGCCATATGATATCAGCAAAATAGACTCACATTGTCTACAACTTCTTAAACAGTGCTGACATGCTGAAACAAGATGTAACAGTTTGTGTTCCAAATAGGAGACCAAGGCAACAATCCTGTCCTTTTATCTACATGTAGTCCTCAACCTACAACCATTTGGTCAGCGACTGTTCCAAGTTACAGTGGCACTGTACGAATGGTGGCTATTTATTTATTTATTTATCATATTTATATAGCCACCCATCTCACACACGGTGACTCTGGGCGGCATACAACAATTAAAAAGAATAAATACATAAAAACAATTACAAATAAAAAAGCTGTAAAAACACACAAAATAGGAGAGGATAAAATTAATAAGGGAGCCATCGTAAAATCTCCCCAGTCCCCTGGGA